ATGTAGAATCTTGTACACCTCGATCATGTCACTCCTCAGCCGTCGTTTCTCCAAGCTAGAGAGCCCCATCCTCTTTAATCACGGGGAAGGTGCTCCATCGCCGTAATCATTTCAGTTGCCCTTTTCTGCACCTTTACAGCAGAGCCTCTTCTTGCTTTCTTCCTCCCCACAATCCCACCGCTTAGGAGAAACAGAGTACAATCACGATCCAAAAACCAAGCCAATCCTCACCAGCCACACAAAGTCGGACAGAATTTGCTGCACCGATATCCTAACGAGCATGAATTTCCAGGCTGGACGCAGGTCTGTCCGTTCAAAGGTTCAAACCGTGACTTTGTGAAAGGTTTAAGGTAAAGGTAAAGGTTCCCTTGCTCGAAAGCCAGTCGAGTCTGACTCTAGGGTTGCGGTGCTCATCTCCGTTTCAAAGCCGAAGAGCCAACGCTGTCCGAAGACGTTTCCGTGGTCATGTGGCCGGCATGACTAAACACCGAGGCGCACGGGACGCTGTTCCCTTCCCACCGAAGTGGTACCTATTTATCTACTTGCAATTTCTTGCTTTCGAACGGCTAGGTTGGCAGGAGCTGGAACTAGAGACGGGAGCTCACTCCGTCATGCGGCACACTCGGGTCTCAAACTGCTGAACTACCGACCTCCCACAGCCTGCAGTTCAGCGTCTTAACCACTGGAGCTTACCCCGTTCTTTATGTTGGTCTCCCATCGCAGTGACATGTTCTTCAGGTCGAACAGCTTAATGTCCCCGTTGTCGTAACCAGCGCAGACCACACGCTCTTCTTGATTATAAGCATTGCCTGGTTGGTTGGGGGGTGGGGGGAAGGATCGCTGTTTAGTTAAGGAATTGCCAAACATTCCTACAGCAAATCCATGACATTATTCTAAGCCTCCATTCCTGTTAGAAGATAGTTCTGGAAAGGAGATGAATGAAGAAGCCCCTGGAAAGGAGATGCATGAAGAAGCCCGGACTTTGAAGAAGGGCCATGGCTCAGTGGTAGAGCACCTGTTTGGCATGTGGTGACAAAAAAAGGCAAATTCAGTCTTGGGCTGCATTAAAAGGGCCATAGCATCTCAATCGCAGGAGATCACAGCCCCTCTGTCTACTGCCTTGGTCAGGCCGCACCTGGAGTACCGTGTGCAGTTCTAGAGGCCTCACTTCAAAAGGGATGTGGGCAAAATGGAGAGGGTGCAGAAGAGAGCGACAAGGATGATCGGGGGTTTGGAGACTGAGCCCTACGAGGAAAGGCTGAGGGCCCTGGGAATGTTTAGTTTGGAGAAGAGGAGACGGAGGGGGGACGTGATCGCTCTCTTTGAATATTTGAAGGGCTGTCCTTTGGAGGAGGGCAAGGAGCTGTTCCAGTTGGCAGCAGAGGAGAGGACCTGAAGCAACGGGTTTAAAGTACATGAAGAAAGGGTATCGGCTGGATATCAGGGGAAACTGTTTCACGGTCAGAGTGGTTCAGAGGTGGAATCGGCTGCCTCGGGAGGTGGTGAGCTCCCTTTCACTGGCAGCTTTCGAGAAGAGGCTGGGTGAATATTGGTCAGAGATGCTTTAGGCTGGTCCTGCATTGGACCACATGGTCTGTATGGCCCCTTCCAACTCTGTGATTCTTAGATTTTATAAGGTCCCAGGTTCAATCCCCGACATCTCCAGTTAGAAGGACCAGGCAGGAGGTGATGGGGAAGACCTCTGCCTGGGACCCTGGAGAGCCTCTGCCAGCCTGAGCAGACGGTCCTGACCTCAACAGACAAAGGGTCTAGTGTTGCCAGGTCCCCACCACCACCACCACCGGCAGACGATGGCAGATAGGTTTGCCAGATGCAGGCTGGGAATGGAGGTTTGGGGATGGAGCCTGGGGAGGGCAGGGATCTCAGTGGGGTCCGATGTCGTAGAGCCCACCCTCCACAGACAGCTCTCTGTAGTTTGGAGCAGTGTTCCTTCTAAGCTGAGTTAATGTGAGCTAGCTCACAGTTTTTTAGCCTCTGACTCACACATTTTTGTCTTAGCTCAGGAAGTATGGCTCCAAAGCAAACTGATTGATGCAGTAGGCAAATCACTCGCTCACAACTTTAATGCCAGTAGCTCACAAAGTTGAATTTTTGCTCACAAGACTCCGTAGCTTAGAGGGAACACTGGTCTGGAGAGGAGCGCTAAATCCCAGGGGATCCCCAGGTCCCACCTGGAGGCTAGCATCCCTAGCAGTGTTCCCTCTAAGCTGCGTGAGCTCGCTCATG